TCACTCTCCCCTTCTAAAGGGGCTCCAATGGCACCTGAGGGGGAATCTCATGGCTGTCATCCCAGAAAGCCTGCCGCACTGATGCCTGCTTACCATCTGCTCCCCATATGAGCAAAAACAGGCAATTGTCTCAGAGAAGGCACCTCAATCACACTGTCATTGAACTAATATACTTTAACATGTTTTGGGGGTAGGTTTGGACAACATTGTGGTAGAATCTGCAATGCTGGAAGTCCATATTTGGCTCAAGGAGGTAACAGTGAATGATTGTGTTTGCATGCGGTGTAGGTCGAGTGTGTTTGAAATGTATATCATAGCCCTGCCCTGTCTCAGCATGGACTTGGCATCTGACAGTGAAAAAAGCAGAACAGTGGGACCCTCTCAGTGTTACACTTCCTGTAAATAACCCCTCCATGCCTTTGGTTTTATCATTCCCCGCAAATGATTCCAGGCCCCTCCAGAGTCGACAAGAAATAGCATTATTTTATGGCATGGAAAAAAAGAGGAGATAAAAAGAGGAGCCAGAGAGAAAAAGGGAGATGGGGCTAAAAAAGGTCCTTCAGGGAACATGGTGTAAATGAAGTTCCAGGAATGACACAGGCGAGCAATGAGGCGTGGATGGAAAATATACGCTGCACATCATCGGATAGAGATGCCAGTGAAAATGGCTTCATTGAAGTGTCAGCCCTCATCCATCAATCAATCATCCGCAAGAAACAATAACGCTGCGGCGATGGGGCAGCTTTTATGGGGCTTACTCATGGGTATCGGAAACAGCACTTAAGTGTAGTTCTGACACTGGGAGAAAAACAGAGGTGAGGTGCAAGGCTTATTCCACATGCAGGTAGAACAGATAGGAGGGGGGAGGGACTAAGTATACAGAGCCCCCCTGGCAGGAGAGCTCTGGACAGAGGAGTTTTTTTCTTCACAACAGCAGTGGATTTCACCTTTTCTAAGATCCACTTCGTCCTGAATGCCTGTTATTGACATTTTGGATTTACAATATTTTTATGTTGTGTTACTGTATGATTTTTACGTTTATTGAAAATGAAACAAGACTAAGAGTCTACAGCCATGCTAGTGGCTCTGTAAAGCTGTACTAGGGTGCTTTGAGTTAAACCCTAACATCTGCATGCTAACATGGTCACAATGAGAATGCTAACATGCTGATGTTTAGCAGAAATGTTTCACCGTCTTATTTTAGCGGGTGTTTTACAGGTGTATGCTCATAAACATATAAAATTTTGACCCGATGATGGCGCTAGATGAAAAGTCAGGAGATCACAGGAGTCATCCTGAGGGGGACATGAATGTGTGTCAAATGCCATCCAATAGTTTTTGCCAAACATTTCATTTAAAACCACAAATGTCTATCTCATGGTGTCGCTAGAGATAAAGTCAGGGGATCACCAAAGTCATTATATTCATTGTCAGGGGACCGTGAATGTCTGTACAAAATTTCCCGTCAATCAATCCAACAGTTGTTGAGATATATGTCTGAATCAAAGTTGTGAACCTACTGACCGACATTGCCATCCGTACTGCCATGCTGCTAGTGTGAGATTTGTGGAATATAAGAGTTGTCCAAATCAAGTTATCCTTGTGTACATTTTACAGTCTTTTACTTTCTCTTCAGTTCATTGTTCCTTTATACTTTATACTAAAAATCTTCCTTTCAGAAACAGGTTGATGCACTGTTAAGTTTTCTCCTATGATATCATATGTAGGCCTATTTAAAAGAGCCAACCAGAATCATCTGTACTTACAAATAACCTCTGGATACCAAAAGCACTGAAAATAGAGCAACACATTCTTTAAGGCTATATGTTCAGCACACTCCTGACATAAAAATAAACAAAAAATGCTAAATGGTCCAACAGTCGCTTTTGCTGTATGTGAGCCTTTTGATTTCCCCAAACCAAGTCTCTTGATGGCTTCTCTGCAACATGAAACATGACACGTCATCCATTATTCTGTACATGTGCCTTGCTATCTCAGTCTGCTCCATATGGCCCCTGTTGTCTCCAGACACCCAAATCCCTTTCCTTGGGCCAGGGCTGTTTTTGTGGGAACCATTACATTGCTCCTCTTCCTCAGAGGAATGGGGTGACGATGATGAGCAATCACAGCCAGAGCAGACTTTCTGCCTCAAATTTTGACAGGATATTCAACAATTGACCATATCCGCTTTGTTGGCCCAATTGCTAATTCATGCAAGTTGACAATCTGGAGGCAACAATTATGAGTGATGAAAGGACTGAAAATAAGAGGAGAGAGCACTTAAGGGGAAGGAGAAAAACATGAAGTTTACTTTACATGAAGGAGGGAGGTAGGAGATTTGAAGAGGGTGGAATTGCTAAACATATCCTCAGTCACAGGTGAATGTATCCACAGCTACTACATATAACCTCTTCTAAAATCAAACACACTGAACAGAAGAATGGTTGGCAATGCAAGCATAAAATGCCATTTGTGTATTGAATTGTGCACTAAAATGGCTGCAGCGTGAATCTTTATCACACAAAACCTAATGTGATGAAAGAAATTTGAAAAGGAGCTGTGGAGACCTCAGGTGTTTTATGGCTTAGTATTTTGAGAGAAAAAAATCCCAAGTGAATTTGCATGAAACATGGGTATTTTCTTGAGATGTCCTTGTCCAGAACTCTGTGCATAATTGGCAGTGAGGGCATTGGAGAACAAAAAATGTAATATGATAAAGTTCGAATCATTAATAAAAATAATTTTTTTGCAGTGAAAGAAAATGCTTGAGAGATACACCGTGTTATGTCATTATCTATTTTTTTCTCCTATTGCATTATTGTATCAAATCAAACATTATTTTAAGCCCAGCAATGATGCAGCTTAATGAAGGGAAGGCCTGCAGTGCCATTCGTCTACAAGGAATAAAGACATAGGTAAAGGTCAGGCTAAATTTCTGACAGAAATGCACCAATTTTAACATTTCTTGAGGCCCCCAAATTACAGAGAAAAACATGCAGAGCAGGAAGTAAACAGAGGGAAAATTCAAACTGTATCTTTGCCTATCAAAGGGATTTATGACATGAAAACCCTTGCAGCATTCTGGACACGGGGATCGAGAGTAACAGGATGCATGTCATAAGCTGTTGTCGACTCTCTGCCATGCATTTGCACTAAGTTTGCCATAGAGTGGGGGAATATGAGGGTGATGCTAAGTGAAATGCTCATTTTGCGTTTGTGATTACCAAGGCCCATGGGCGATATGCACTAATGTGAGCTAATGCAATAGATTACACAGTGCTGGCCCAGGGGAACAGACAGCAAGCAGATGTGGTCTACTCAAAAAGGGAGGGGGGGGGGGGAATCAAAGTTTAAAGTGTTCAATGTGCTGAAGATTGTCCGTTACAATTTGTTGTTTACAGAATGTAAAGCCATGAAAGGTTTTGTCAGTCTTCCTCGTTTATAGGTATGTGGAAATTCAACAATAGCGTGCTCATGTCTTGCAGATGTATAAGCTATTACCAAACTTCTGTAAATGCTCACTGAATCAAAAAGCCAAAAAAATAAAAATGCTGCTGCACTGCTCTGTTTGAAACCTTCAACCACAGTGAAGTGATATCAGGTGTGTTTCTTTAGACAGCTGATCCGCACACCTGTGTGACATCACCAATTAGGGTGTGGTCACGAGCGCAGCATGCTTATTACTGCAAGTTTCATATCAAAGAGAGCAACACAAGCATGTTTTTGTTCTGTGTGGAGAGGTGTAGTTTAAAAAAATAAAAATAAAGACAAACCTGTATTTTAATGTCAATGCTCATAAACACTACTGAATTTTATTCAATGTGTATTTCTCATAACTACATAGGTCTGCTATTCAGATTGAACACGCACGGCTTTGACTTTGAAACCACAATTTGACAGGGCTATTATCTAGACTTTGTAAATAATGCCCTCTAGTGGTCAGTCTAAGTCATTGATGGGGAAAAGGGAAGGTGCGCCACATTTTCTTCAGTCTAACATTAAGTCCACACACATTTTTACCAGTAATTATTTTTCAAACAAAAAAAATGTTGTTCTTTCCTTCTGCAAATGATTTTTCTCTTTTGTTCATGTTGAAAATAAAAATCACGTTACCGTAATATCATGCATGTTACAGTCCACTGATGATATAACTGAAAAAATAAATGAGGAGCTAGAAATCCAAATCTATGCTTTTCTGATCTGGAGCCAGACTAGTCTAAAGTCCGCAATTAAAGCGGTCATTGCAGGGTTCCTGTGTTTACTGTGTTCCCTTGCAGCAAGTTAGAGAAACCAGGCTATTGGGTCTCACTTTGTACCACCATCACTCTTGGTCTCAGCTAATAATTCATGCACATAATACTGTATAAAAAAAAAGGGAGAGGCATCAGCAAAAGTGCTCTGTTATGAACAAAGTTAGATCACTGCTTCTAACCCTCCTTGAATGTTGCTCTATTCTCTATACAGAGCTTCATCAGATTGGAACATATATCAAATACATTTCTAATCCAAAAGGTTTCAAACTACAAGTGAATACATTTTAGATAATATGGTATAATGTAAACATCTAACTTCCATCTCTTTTTGGGGTTATGCACCAGTTTTGTTTTAAGCTGACCTTCCTTTAAAAAAATAAATAAATTTCCTCTAGTGATTATTTTTTCTTTTAATAACTATTAATGTATAGATCTTCCCATGTGTGCTAATATACCCAAGGATAAATAACCTCATTAGCGTATATATATGTACAGTGTAAAGACTCAACATAAATTAGATTCACGAGCAGTATGATACAAAACATAAAATGTCAATGTCAATTCAAAAAGTATTTCACCTCCAGGTATGTGTGACCACTACCTGGCAGATGTCCAAATTAAAGTACCAATTACTGTCTCCTTGAATGCATGAGAGTCCCTCAAACTGCAGCTAAATCTGTGTTCTTTGCTGTGCTGAGTAGATTGTGGGTGGCCAGGTGTCGATCAGTCAAGTAACAAATACTGCCAGAGCTTTTCGCCTCTTACTTTATTATTGAAATGTGTCATACAAATCTCAAACAATATTTTCATTTTTACATAAGTCCACATGTAATGTGAATACCAAACAACAAAAAAGAAATAACTTAACCCAAACCTTTCAAAATGGCAAAAATACTAAATTATAAACAGACTAAACAGCTTGTAAATATGAGTTAACCTGAGACTTCTTGTTCACAGTGTGTAATTAATCGAGCCATAAATCATCATAGCTGATTTTGTATTTTTTCCCCCCAAACTACACAGTCATACAACATCTACAAGGCCGCTGGATGACCAGCCGGGACTGACTGGTGCCAGTTGAAACAAAATAACACTTTCAAGACTGTGTAGTAAAAGCAGACTCCTGAATAGTGACTAAATGTGCAGTCTAAATAATACAGCCCCACCATTTAATATACACCAAGTCATTCAGTTTGGTACATTTTACAGCTCATGGATTTGAGGCACCACTAAAGCAGATGATAGCCATTAGCCATTTCAAAAGGACAAACAACAAAATCTGTTGTGTTATGGGCTTGTAAATACCAAGTGTATCAAAGAAACCCACAACCCATATTGTGTTGTGTTACAGTTAATCATGTGCCATAGGTCGATATAGCCTCAGCAGTAGTTTTTCCCCCCTCACCAGATGAGGGTTTTTTTTATGCGGTGCCTGACAAACACATGTCCATCTAGTTATGCCCCAACTCAAAACATCTGTCTCTAGTCGATAGACGAGTAGCTATAGGTACAGAGGCAAAGCTGACATGATAGCTACAGCAGCTTGACAAAATTAACAGTGTCTAGAGCACAACATGAGGTAGACCCCTTCTACACAGGACTCGTTACTGTGGCCTGTTTGTAAACCACTGGGCCGAGGCCATCAAGTTATTCCACAGAAAATCCCAACACCCATCAGTGAAAAAAATTGAATAGTGCTTAATTACCGCCTGGGACTCAACAGTAAGTGAACAGAGCAGCAATTGTTCACACAATTTATATTTCTTTAAGTTTTTACTTAATATATTTCTATGTAATGAACTCAGATATATTTATGTGATCCCACATACAAATTTTACTGTTATGTCATAGACACTTACAGATATTTGAAAATTAGTGTGGGTCAAATATGGATAAGCAAAACTTTTGAGTGAAAAAAGAAAATTACAGTGCACACCAGTGGAATAATATCTTCAAAGAGAGGTGATCTGCACTTTTTCCCATTCAAACAAAGAAAACAAATGTACACTGAAGACCTCAGCCCTAAAATGTTTATGCAACACAATTTTCCTCTATTGAAAAAAATATGAAATTAGGGGAGCCTAGATACTTTCATTACAAACCATCTCTCTTAAATCCATACATTAAACAAACTTTCCAAGAAGCTCTCCAAAATAAGGTAGCAGCACAGTTCAAATCTAAAGAGAAGAAAAAAAAACCTTTATATATTTTCAAATATGCCTTGATTTATTTACATCAAGCACCAGGTAAATCTATTCAAATATTCTGGTCAGGGTGAAAAAAAAAGAAGGAACAAACTTTATCTACTTCAGAATATTTTTCTACTTTTTACCTTGGTGCCACTTTAGGTACTTTTGTCAGTGGTCCCATAGCGTTGATTAGGGAAAGGGCCTGAGGGATCTCTCCTCTGCAGGTTGGGCAGAGTGGGTAAGTGTTGGTACAGCATAGTTCTGCCCCCTGAGAAAAAAATCTTCAATGTTAACTCTAAAAACTGCTAGATTAATTATATAAAATAGCCTGTTTAAATACAAAACTGTCCTACTGTATGTACCACTCCTGAACCAGCTAACCTATTACATACCTGTTCTTGGGTTGGCCAGTCCTGCATGACTAGGGTTAGTTGATGTGCTGTGATAGAGAGATGCCAGGTCATTGGGTGTGTACGAGCGCAGAAGGTTCATCATGCTCCACTCACTGTCCAAACCTCCAATAGTTGTAGGTGTAGTCTTCAAAGGACCCATGGTCTCAGAAACTGTAGCTGGACCAGAGCTCTGTGATGTGGTTTTCACACTTCTCCCTGAGATAAGCAGCCTGTTAGGCCCATCCCCTCCTGTTCCTCTGTAGCCAGGTTTCTCACTGGTGTCAGCTTCCCTGCCTATAGGTACCCCATATTTGTATCTCTTGCTGGAAGGTTCACCAAAATCCAACTGGGGGAGACTCCCAAAGCGGCTCGACAGGCACAGCCTGGCAGCATCTGAGTGCCAAATGACGCCACTTCTTGCTGGGTAACTCCTCTCACCAATTCCCACTCTGTCTGGGGGGCCTGGTCGGTCCATGACGTATTTGCTGCCGGTGTTCGATTTCCTCAAGAGCTCAGTGTATCTGGAAGATTCCTGACTGGGATGTGTATCAATGTTCTGTCTATGACGCTGGGACTCCTGGACAACATCGTGTAGGGGTGCATGTATAGGGGACCGCTTAGGAACTTTGGGGGGGTTAATAGGGGTCTTTTCTTGTGGATTTGAAGATTGAGGGGGTTGAGGGGGTGGAGACTTTGTTCGACGAGGGTGGCGCCGATCAATCATTGGAAGCGGGGTGACATCGTTCCCATCAAGCGCAGGGGGGCAACCTGTGTAACGTTTTTGCTTTGAACCGCCTCCAAATCCATTCTTTTTTGTATTGTCTAACTTGTCTTTATGAATCAGCTTTTTGTGCATTATCAGAACCTCTGGGTACATGGTTTTATATGCACAAAACGAACAGGCAATGGGGATTGATGCATTTCTGGGTTCTGCAATGGCAGAGATGGAGAGAGAGAGTTTTAAAGACAGATTTAATGGGGCCTCAGAGTTCTCGTCTTTTATCTCCTCCTTTTCCATCTTCAGGTTAACAGGTACGAGGCACTTTACGACCACATCATCAATCGGGGAGTAAGCAGACTTAGCAATTAATTTCTCATACTCAGCATTCATCTGGACGAGTGGTTTGCCAGGCTTGCTACTATGCTATCAAATGTGTCCTCTGGTTCTCCACTGGGACATGATCTGCTCCAGGAACCCAGAGTTTGGATCTATTTGGAGCAGGATGTTCATTTCCATGTTTTCCGTCATTAGGGGAGGGCACTAAAGGCACAGGTCTGCTGGGAATGTCCGTGTAAGGTTTGTCCTTGTGACGCCGGTCCAGGTGATATTTTAGGGAAGTCTTCTGGGCTGCAGCGTAGTCACAGTAAGCACACTTGAAGGGTTTTTCACCTGAAACAAACCAAGACTTAAGTATAAGCATAGTTTAAAATACAAGCAGCATAATGAGACCTACTCTATACAACCAAGTTAATATATGCAGTCTAAAATTTATAAATGAAATCATTCAAGCCAAATGTGTTGAGGATACCTGTGTGAGTCCTCAGATGAACTGTGAGGTAGTAGCTTGATCGGAATGATTTGCCACAGTAACTGCATCCTTTTGATCGGACCTTTGATCGATCAAAACCATCTTCACCTTTAAAAAAAAAAATGACACAAATACATGAATACATACGTAGAAAGGAATAGGACAAAATAAAAATCACAAAAGGCATGTGTTATATTCCTTCCCATCAGCAGAGGGAGCACTTGGTAACAGTTCTTTGTATAAAACAACTCTACAAACAAACAAAATTACAAGACAGTATGAGTGATACATGAACGGGGTAAAGAGCGCTAAATTTACCTGGACCCAGGTTTTCTGTCAATGTTGCTTCCTCAAAGCCCTCCTCAGAGCCTTCCTCTGCATGCTCAAGTGACCCTGCTCTCGACAACTTCCCATCAACAGAAGTTGGACTCTCTTCACCACCCCTCTCACGCTTGTGGACTCTGGAGTGGAGAACTAACTGGTGGTAGGTCCTGAAGGTTCTCTGACATTCCTCACAAGTGGTTGGCCTTTCTTTGTCCTTATCTTTTTGCATCAGAGACCTCCGCTGTGGTTCTGGGTTTTCTCCAACAGTCTGCTGCTGAGACCGGAGCTCTCTCCCAAGGACATCTTTTGTAACTTTGTCTCCTTGTCCCTCAGACCAAATATTATTCAACTCCTCCTTATCAGAGCCACATTCTTCATTGTCTGTGCTGGCTTCCTGGCCAACATCTTTAGTAGTATTAGGACCAACTGCTATCTTGCCCTTTGTAGCAAGTTGCCAAGCCTGATATGTGTTGAAGGGATCTAGCTGGGGAATCCATTTTGATGATCTCTCATGTTGCAAACTATTTCCTGTAGAGCGAGGCTGAAGTCTTAGACTGCGAAGAAATGTTTCCTGTGTGGCAAGAGTTTCAGTAGTGTCATCCATGTTCTCCTTGTCTTTGTCTTTGCCAGGCTCCACCTCTCGATTATGTACTTTACTATGTTCAACCAAACTTTCATGGTCAGGGAAGAAAAACCCACAAACCATGCACATTTTGTAAACCGTGACTACAGGCTCTGGAGCAGGGTCTAGGACAATGCCATTGACAGTGACGGGGGTCTCCAGGTCTTGCTGGGCCTTGCTCTTTGCCCCCGGTTTTACATGCATCTTCATGTGGTTCTTGAGGAACCATGGCTCTCTAAACCGCCGTCCACAGACATTGCAGCAGTAAGTAAAGTAGTCCTTGTGTTTCCTCATGTGAGTCTCCAGCTCACTGGCATCTTGTGAAACCTGACCACACACAATACAGCTGTGAACCTCCTCTTTTTCAGGAGGGATACTGCTCGGTTTGGGACGGGGCCTCTCTCCTGGGATCCTAAATTCGGCGTCAACTTGAAGCACAGCTGGTTCAAAGAAAGTGGTGGGGTGCTGTGTTAATACGTGGGGTCCTAGCTCATCCTGGTGACTAAAAGTCTGATCACAGAACATACAAGATAGTGATACACTTCCTCCAGATTGCAACACAGCCTTTTCTGAGTATGCAGTGTGTGGTGTCATGCTAGAGCCAGGCCCTGGGATGCTTGCATTGTTACTAATAAGAACATCTTGGGCAAGTTCATCTGGGCTCTCCAAACACGGCAGCAACGAGTGAGTCGGCATTGTCCTCTGCTGTACACACTGTCCAGATTATTAGGAACCTGGAAATAATGGGAAAACTGTCTTAAGCCACTGGTGAGTATCAAAACAGGATCAGGTAGCTACCACCTAACTTAAGATGAAATCAGTTTAAAATGCACCACGCACCATGCCTTCTCTTATACTGAAACAGGAAATGTATCTTTATCTATCAACTGCACAGACAGCTAATTTCCGCTGGCCACTGATAAATCTTCTTATTCAGTATATAAACCTTAGTTTGTGAGCAACTAACTACATAATTTGGCATTCGATATCATACTTAATACATAGGTTCACACGGTCATTCCAGCTCACATTTAAACATGTTTTGTTTTTTTAAACACAGATGAATTTGTAAACTACATAGTTTCAAAATGAGAGTAAATGACAGTAGTCACGATTAAATATTAGACAATATTCTGCAGTTGAATAAAAAAAGTATTTATATACCACTACATTAAACCATCAACTTCTCATTTTACAACCATCTTGTTTCTTTGCCACACCCAAAATGAAGACTTGAGAAATGTTGTATGGCCTTAGTTTGATTAGCTCTAAGCAATGTTAAACAACAGCCACACACCTGATAACTTTTGTTTTTGTTGTTATACTACCCAACAATCCTTGGCTGTCCTATTTTATAAATGTATGCTCCGGGCATTTAATGTTTTGTTTCCCTTTTGTTTTGTGAATACTGGGACTACCGCCTTGTGATTTAGTCATAGTCGCTGTTTTAGCAGGAATAATTAACTGCTTATACATTGAGAAAAAAAAAGTTTAAGAAATTGAAAACACACAATTAGTCTGATTGGCACAAGAGTGGAGTGACTGGACCAGCAAGTTCAAAGGCTCAAGGCTAGTGCAAATGCAAGTGAAGACTGTGACAACAGCAAAACATATAGCAGCCCATGGTAGCATCTGTCCTACAATCTTTAGTTTTTTTTTTATTTAACCTACAATGAATCAACATACATCATCAATATAGTTTAACAACTGGGCAATTTAGCTGATAAGGTTAAAGTCCAAGTGGCTGATCATCTCCCAGTGAATCAACCCTATTGTCCTCATTAATATAACTTTTTTAACACAACCTATCAACGCTGGTACCCAAGTTTACTATTTATCGATTACCTTGCTATTAGTTTGCCTGGGTGTAGTTTTGACTTTATCCAGGTGAGCACAAGCAACTGTCGATAATGACCCAGTGTGAAGCACACCCATGCTTTGTGTGAGGCAGCATTAACGTTAGCCACCTTGTTATTCAAGTAAGCACAGCCCTCGTTAAGACCCTTAATGTAATTTTCTCGTGATGGGGCTGCTCAAAAATCACAGTTTACAACGGAAGTTAACTTAAAGTTAACTTCGCCAGAGTCCACGGCTATTTAACGGAGCTGCTATTACATTTCTATAAGTGCATAATAAGCAGAGCACGAGGAATTGGTTTCCTTTTTGATCACATACAGATCGATATCAATCATGTCCCTGGCGTTAACTCTGATTGGGGACGCTTCAAATCATAAAGTTGAAATTAGCCAACATTAACTCAACTACAAACACCTCCCGAGAACGATAACTAACGTTAACCACTTTCATCACAACAGATTGGTGCAAATGAGCATTAACCAAACCTAGTGTACTTACGTTGTCGCTTATTGATTTGTTTAACGCCAGTTTCAAAACGTTAACCCCAGATATTGTAACTTTCCGATACGCTAACGTCGCCAAGTTATGGTAAAAGTTAAACCATGAACTCCCAAGTCAGGACAGTCGCATTCTAACGACAGTAACGTTAGCAAACTAACACCTTCTGTTGTCTCGACTTCGACTCAACTGTAGAAACTCACCAAACAATACCTACCAACTCAGAGTTTCCGGATTAATAATGACACTACGGTGCGACTGAATTCAGTAAGCGAAGCTGTTTGTGTGAGTTGCCTCTTCATTTCACAACGCGTCGCTGGTGGACACCTCACCTATTCAATTGTTTGAATGTGAATCATATTTGCTCTACTTGGCGAGTCCTCACTGTGTGCAGCTGTTGAGTTCTGAGGCGCGCGCTCTCTTCCAACGATTCTCAAAGGGGAAGATGGAGCGCGTGCACGGCAACCCCCCAAAACACCCATAGGACAGTCACGTGGTCACGAATAACAGAGAAAAAAAATTAGGATTAGTGCACATAGTCTTAAATCACACATAAAATGCATCTTATCTGTGTTGTTTATTAATATAACATCCTAGTATCCCAACTACTTACAGGTTGCTTGAATATGGCAGTCTTGGGCAGTTAATCACTATCATGTGGGCTTGATTTGTATTTTAAATCACCCAAGTTACAAGTGTGATATTATGTTTTGTTTTTTTACAGTAATAGGTTTTGGGCTATCCTGTCGTTTACTTTAATCTATGTAAACTGTTACATACAGAGTAACGCTGTGTGCTGATTAGAGCCACAGGCTACATAACAATGTTCACCGTTTGATAATGTAATGCTGCTGAACCTACTTGAAGTGTAGCCCTTCTTTCCACGCTCTTGCTTCATGCATCGGCTGCCATGTGGAGATGGGGGAGGGGTGCCTCAAACTTTTTTTCACAGTAACATGAGGGTTTTTTGCAGAAGCAGGTTGGTTGAGTCATGACGCATTACAGCTTCTCCCTATTTCACGACATTGAACAAGCCCAGTTTTATATCCCATTTCGATTTACTGTCACCAAAAACATACACTTGATACAGCCATATATACTTAATGCTGGTGTCACATGCTAATGTAGTGAGGAGGAGTCTTTCTATAGCCTATTGTGAAATGTCAAACTTATAATAACAAAATATAATAATGATAATTACAATACTTGTGACAGGGAAAATGTCAAGTCACTATTCAGTTGTGTGAACACAAAATACCCTAAAAGAATAATACACTTATTTTTGTGAGGAAAAGACTGTCACCTACAGTAGCACCCTGTGGCTAATGTGAAGTTAAATAACAGCCCCTCCTCCACCCTTAAACCCTCCCAAAGAGACACTAGGCATTGATGGCAGCTTAAAGCCATACATCACACAATCAATGAAGATATTCAGTAGACTTCAGTGTACACTTTATTAAGGCACACACACACTACCATCAAATGGCAGCAATGTCTGAAAGAAAAAGTACTTATCAGTAACCACTCCCAGCTAAGGAACAGTGAACAAAGACTTGGAGACACCATTTGCCAAAACCATCTCTAACAGTAGGCTGGGTTGTTGCCTTATCCTCCTGCCTCATAGTGGCCATTAGACTGCTTCGCTTATATATTGCATGTTGTTCTTGAAACCCTTGTTGTTACCAAACAGGTCAGACCAATGCTGTGCTCTTTATATAATGGAAACACAAGCAGATCTGCAGGTTTGGCAAGCAGACTTCACCAAAATGCATCATTGCTGTAATGAATGTGATTATTGTAAACATGCCAGACACCAGATCATATGCCTTTCACACGTTAGACATAGGAGCTAACATTGTACATATATTATTGTATACAAAATCGCTTCAATCTGATCAATTCTTCTCTGTGGTTTAAATAGGCCACATGTTCTCTGGACAGTGCAAAATAAGACATCCAGTATGTGTTTTGCATTAGTAAGACTTAATCACTTACATGCGCCGCCCCTAAATTAAAAAGAAATGTGCACCCCCTGCAACACTCTGATTCAGATTTTGGTATTCTTTACGCACCCCGATATCATGGTACACAAACAAGTCTAGTATGTTAATCAAAGGCACCACATGTGACACATGGAGGCCTCCCGCTCATTTCCTATTGTTCTGTGACCACAAAGGCTCCGTGAAAGGCTATCAATCTGGAGAAGCAGTATGATGCCTCAGGATGATGAACGTGCCCGAGAGATGTTGTTGCCTATCATAAAAAAGCACTCTATGTGCAGTGGTGGAAGAAGTAGCAACATTTTTTAATTAAGTAAAAATAGCAATATCGCTCTGTAAAAATACTCTGTAAAAAGTAAAATTCATATATTCAAGAATTCACTAAAGTAAAAGTACAAATATTACAGTAACAGCAAAATATAGCTACTTAAGTATGAAAGTAAAAGTAGTTGTTGGACAGAATAGTCAGAGACTTTGGTTTGGAAAATCCTAATTCCAGCTGTCAGATAGTGGAGTAAAAAGTAGACCTTTTCACTCTGAAATGTATTGTAGAAGTATTAAGAAGCATAAAATTGAAATTCCTCAGAATTGTATTTAAGCAGAGTACTTGAGTAAACATACTTACTGTCTTTGTGGAGGTGGTGGTAGTTTGTGTTTAACCAGACAAATATTTATTTAACTGGATAGCAATGTTATCATAGATTATATTGCAGTTATTTAATTAGCATTCATGCTCTGTAGTGGTAATGACAGCAACAAGTGGGCAAACATTGTTTACTTTTAACTGATTTAATTAACTTTGTCCTGTTGTTTGACTTTATGCTGATGTCATTTCTCATCTAAAATCCTGCAAACTCTTTGTCTTAGCTTGTTACTTTCCAAACAAAAACATACTATAAACCAAATTCTAATTGAGGATGAAGTGGCATCTTTGAAAAACCGAATGCTTGAACGAATAATTATATGTTCAGGAGACAGACAGACAGGCCCTGATAAGAACTGGATCAACGAATGGGGAAAGGCTGTTGTGGCTTCTTTTTGTCTTGACGTGTCAGGAGCAGCTGACTGCATTGTTCTCCTCCAGATTCCCAGCCTGGCTTCTTTCATAATCCTGGTGTCGCTCCTGAAAGACACTGATAATATATAATCTCCTTTCTCACCCCTAACCAGTGATGTTTATTCAGCGCAACCAGCTGTTGCGTTGTTGATCATCTTAGAAATTTTATCAGTCACCTAAAGCATTCCTTTTCTGCACGTTTGAAATATTTAGCTTCTTTCCTGAGGAGAAATTGAGAAAAGGGGAGTCTCTTTGTTCTACTGCACTGCTCTGTATAATCTTTTTTTACTTTCAGGCTTTTCTTTACTCTACGTTGACCCATATGGACACAGTTATTCATAAAAAAAAGAAACAAAGAAAATAATGTGAGTGGACACATTACACGTGTTCTCCAGATAATAAACAAATGACAAAAGAAGCTTACTCTGATAAATATTCGATTGTTACTAGCCATTAATATTTCATAATGATATAGGTTAGCTCTAAATACTCTTTCAAATGTAATTGTGGTTGTATTAATCATATGATATCATTTAACTAAACTGCCTTTCTTATCATCAAAACTAGGACAAACCAACATACCAATATTATGATTCTCTTGACCTTAATCTGCTGTCAAACATAAACTACACAGTCTTGGCACATTCAGTCATATAAATATCTCGTATTTGAAATTGGCAGATTAGGGGAACAACACCTCAGTTTAGACAGATGTGCGAGTGTGTGTGAGTTAAAAAGAAACAATTAAAAACAAGTGTAGTTGCTGCACAGAGGGTCATCATGTCAAGTCTAAAGATACAAATCTGTATCTTTAGATTAAGGTTACCCTAAAAAAAATTATGTTTCTAACCTCAGAAAATCCATTTTGTTCCGGTGGACTAATATTTACCATACTTTTTCTGCAGCAGCACAGGACATCATATCTTGTATTGGGCACCATTCTTTCTATGCATTTTTACAATTGTATGTAATTTATATCACCTCAGTGCAAGTTGCTTTTTCTGTGTACTAGCAACTAACATTTCAAGAACCAAACCAAATACAGAAAATGAAATAAAGCATTTAATCTAAACATTGGCCTTAAATGTGTTATCATAAACAATGGGTAAAATCAGTGTTTTTTCTCAACACACAGCTCCCTTATTATCTTTCAGTTGTGGTTAAAACATTTCACATAACAGTAACATTTCAGGAATTTGAATGGCATTAAAATTTTATAAACTTTTTTAGGATTTCTGGTATCAACTACAGACACCTTTTGTCCCTCCAGCAGGATGTAACATTCCCCTGAAAAGAGTCACAAAAACCAACCCTAAAAACACTTGAGAGCATCTGCATCAGAATGCCTCCCAACACACAAACAGACACACAATGTGCCTGCAGGACCTGCTGATTCATTCTTGGTTCAAGTGAATGTGACTGTCATGCAGAGGCTAGATCACTAGTATTGATTTGTTATCAGATCAGAATTAGTGATTACTGTGTCTTCTGATTGGTCCTTGGAATTGTTTCACCCTAATGTCTCCACACAGAACAGACCTTTTACTAGTGAGCAGTGCCGTGATGCACATTAGTGCTGACAGCAGGCCTCCTGTCAGGCCTCCCTGCCCACTGTTCCCTTGTTCCACCCCCTCTGAGCTCAGTGCATTCACACAGTCACATGCATTGTCCTGGGATGAACTGCAGCAACATGGTGGTCAAGCAGATCTTTTGCAGTCTACAGTTGTTTAGCGTTGTTAAATCCACACATATAACAGTTTCTATTTTAATAAGCCACCTAGTTCATTTTGGTCTGTGCTTGTGCAGAAGGGGTTTGACCAGCCCTCATGAAATTTGGTTTGCTTTCATAATTGTACAGAAAAGCTTCCCCTATTAAAGCTCAAAATTCTGGCATACTGCATGTAGGGACATGCAGCTGCCTGCACTGTGTATTTGCCAGGATACCCAGATGCATAAAAGGCTGAGTGAATTAGTTAATGACAGCATAAGAAAGTGAAGACATCCGGTGGTTGTGAGATTCACAATGTAATATAAAGTTTTTCATTTCAGGATAAGTGTTTCTCATGATTTTATGTTTGGTAATGAACATGAGCTCTTCACACATACCAGGAATACTGGTGGCAAAAACGTCACACTGCATCTTAATTTTAAACAATCCCCAGGGGGAAAGGACAGACAATGGATCACATGTCTTATACAGTGCAAGCAATACCTCACTTTTTCTCCTTCAGTGCCATGGCAATTACTTTGATGCACAATTTAAAATGATCACACCTATTATAGAGGGTAATGCAAGAGGAGTGTGTCTCATTGATAACAAAGGAGCAGTGTGAGTTATGCCTTCAGGGGCAGCGACTCATCACTTAATGGTGGGTGAATGGTAGGTCTCAGACATTACTATCTAAAACACATCCTTCCAAAGACTTCACAATGTGCTATCCATCATAGAAATTACATCATAAATGGTAAAAAAAAGATTTGAGGGCTTCCTTTACCTGAAATATACAATTCCTTACATCTTGTTTTACATCTTTTATCTCTAAGGTGTCTCATGGACTATCATGGAAATTGTGAATTAGTATTCAATAGTGATGTCCATCTGTCATCTCTCTGTCTGTCACAGTTACAAATGACGGCCTGCACTGAGGTCAGTTTTCTTTTATGCGACCATGTCTGTCAGATAACTGTCACTAGTCTGTCAGCGATACAAATAAATACATACATGAGTAAGGCTTACAGCATTGGGTCTACACCCAACATAGCGAGGTGTGACTCACGTGTCACGCCTTAATAGCTCATAAGCATAGAGCTTAAACTTGTGTGAATTAAAATTATTTGGATGTCATTGGTGGAAGAATGTCATATTTACTTTTTGGCAAACTTGTTGTGTCACATATTTTTGCAGTTGTTGCATCAGCCAGTTGTTGTTGATTAAGTTTCTCAATGCCATTTTTGTTAACATAGATGAAGAAGAAATGAATGGTGAACATATTTATTGTCTTCAAATTGGCTGAAGTTACACATGCACGCATACATACATATAGGAAAACAAAAGCATGATATTAATTGCACATGCCAAAAACAAATGACTAACACCACAAGACTTTCATTTAATTACTTGACAAAAAATGCTGCAATCAAATTAAAAGCTAATCGACTGTGATTTATGACTGCTGCAAAACGTACCACAAGGACACATTTGCACAATGACACCATTTTGCTACCTCAGATGCATTTGTTAATGTGAACACTTACAATCAGTTCCCCACAGTAAACAGTAAAGATTGTGATTTTCCCATATATCCCAATATATGACTGTTAGGATATTTATGTATGTGCTTTACTCTACATATAGCTTACATAAAGTTAGAAAAATCGTTAAGTGCATTTTGTTATATAAACAAGCTCCTCTTATCAGCTTAATCAGTTCTCAATTTTAACGTATCATTTAAGTACTTTTTTCAGTATAATTTCATTTTATCTCTGCATTGCCACAACTGCATGATTTTTCTGGTATGGTAACTGTAAAAATAGGTTGTATATGACTATGTGTTTTTAAATGTTTTTGACATGTTAATTGCTGAAAGCAAAGCATGGTACAGTCTATTGCATAAGCCCAGTATGTCAAGTTGCAAGAACAAAGAGAAGTCACATTAAATACCTGTAGAAAAGGTTTCACACTCACATTGCTATACTTGTCAAGATATCTATATTACTAAAAATATATATATATCTCATCAACCATTTCACCAATTCAAATCACCACCAGTTCGACTACCTGCCCACTGTTCATCTTTCTCACAATTGTTCACTTGCATTTATCCTCCCAGTCACTTTTCTTTTCATATTGTATCTTCTAAACAGTAACAAAAACAAAAAAATGTAGTTAAAGTATTTGAATAGGGGTTGAAAGGGAGATGAGAGAGAGAGAGATAAAGATTGAGTAAGGACAGGAAAGAGGGAGGGAGTCTGTACAGGGAAACGTCACTGTTGGTTTTGGTTTCACTTGGTCTTTTCAGCTGGAGCGACAGTTACTGGCTCTGTCTGGACCCCAGCATCTGTAGAGTTACGTTTCTGACTCTGAAATTTAAAGGGAGAAAATGGTAAATGTTTGTTTATTACAGTATCTACTGTACTACTCCATTTCCACATCCATGCCAAATCTGAACTCATATATAACCCATTTTAAATGTATTTGCATTTGATTAAAGTATCCTCAAAGCCTTGTTCCTGTCGCTAGTTGTGGGGAACAATTTCTAATTTGAGGTCTTAGTTTTTTCCAAAAATACCTCCATTTTTGGAAATGGTTTCATTTCACAAAACAACAATGCTTGCAACACTGCCTGGAATATGTGTCTTCTGAATCAAGTCTAATATATTAACTTTATGTAATATATTAAAGGCAAACTGTGCAACACTTGCATCCTTTGCACTCTGATCACTGCACTATTTGTTAATATGTCTATATTGTTTTGTTCATAGTGTGTATTTTAGTGTTGTCTACACTGTAGCTTGTGTCTGATTTTATTTTATTATTAATTTATTATTGTGTTATGTTATTTTTGTATGAGTAAGCACATCATGAGCAATGTACAATCCTGAGTCAAATTCCTCGTATGTGTACACATACCTGTCAATAAAGCTAATTCTGATTCTGATTCTGATTCTGACAATTCACAGGATGTGTAACACAATGTGAACTGCACTGTGAAATAGGGCAACACTTTTAGTTGCTTAATGAGTTGCTGCTGCCATCTAGTGGAGATGAAGGTACAACATATTGCAATAAGCAGGGCCAAATTAACCTGAATAAACAGTCAGCAGTGTTTAAGGGAAACATTGCTGACTCACCAGATTTTTAAAGAACAGGTGGATGGAGTTCCTCTTTTCCAATTTCCTGGGCACATTGGCTGCTTCATCCGCAGCTTGGGTGGCCACTGAAGCTGGTTTGCTATCTACAACCGCCTCTGATGACTTGGCTGCCGGTTTGGGTTCCTCCTTGGCTTTAACTGTCGGAGCTGCCTCTGCCGCTGGGGCAGGGGTCGCCTTCTTTGGATCAGCAGGCTGAAAGTGTTGTGGTACATAATGAAAAACAGAATTATTCCAGTCCTGTAGCAGCCGTGGATCCAATGTTTGTATCATTACATAACAATATGTTTAGATGGACTCTGAGATGACATCAGATGTAAAATTTGAAGCGACATTAAGATGCAAGATGGGGTGGCGATGGTGCAGTGGATAAGACACATGCCTTTGGTGTGAGAGACTTAGTTCAACTCCCCACTGTAACCCACCCACCATTGTGTCCCTGATCAAGACACGTAACCTGTCATTGCTCCAGAGGCGTGCGACCTCCGACATGTACAGCAATTGCAATTCGCTTTGGATTAAAGCGTCAGCTAAATGAAGTAATGTAATGCACCAGCTGTTAGGATCCACTGTGTCTTAGTAGCTGCAACATTATGATCATAGAAGCACTGATGTGTGTTATAATAACAAATGGAGAAAATACTTTTGCCAAAAACATTTTAGAGCAAGTTTTAATACCAGATGTAATTAATGGAATTACTCTGGTTAATAATATGTCTATTCTCAAGAGGCAATTTTACTGTATTTACCAGTCCAGTTGTTCTCCTGAGGAGTCGAACTCCACTTGTGGAGGCTGCCTGGACTTTTGTTGTCATGTGGTCTAACAGTACCTCAAATTCACATTCATCTGTTACTTTCTGTTTACTAATTCCACCACAATTCATACTCAGAGATTTTCAGACATTTTAAAGACCCATAAAGGCTTGGATGAATCGGTCCTTACTTTAGGCTTGAAGAAAGAAAGGAAAGGTGATTTTGAGGCTGTTTTCTTTTCTTCCTGAACAGGCGGTGGCGGTTCTGGCTTTGCAGCAGCCTCCAGAGTGCTGGCTTTTGAGGGATCCACCTTCTGTTATCAAAACAGCAGAGAAGAAAATACACATCATGAGCCATTTACAAATTAAAGATGTGACCATCATTGAAGCAGAGAGAGTGAGGGCAGGACCTGCCACCTGTGATGTAAAGAAGAGATAAAGGGTGGGTAAATCAGGGATCAGAGCGGAGAAGTAGGCAGAACAATCTGATAAGAACGGTCCTCATAAGAATAAAGAAGCCCATACCATCATGCACAAAAGTCAAGAATGTTATTGTCTGTAAAAAGAAAAAGACAAGAAAATAGGAAAGGGAATGTTTCAATCTCCACTGAATATCCTGTGTCCTCCTTTGGAGGAATATGCTTATTATTTGTTTTCTTGACAAGAGATGAGAAAATAGATACCATTTTCATACTTGTTAAATGTGAGATGGTTAACATAGCATAAAGAATGGAGAGCTGGCCTGCAACTGGTCCAAAGGTAATGAAATCTTATTGTTTAACATGTTATATATCATTTGTTCAATCTCAACTGAATCAAAGTGGAAAGTAAATTCAAAAAGTTGTGGTTTTATGGAATATAATGTGCTAGTGAGCTTTAGGGTTGTTGGTGCTTGTTACCCTCAGACAGCCAGATGTACTGTTTTCTCCTGTCCAGCCTTAAGTCTAAGCTAAGCTAAGTGGCTGCTGGCTGTTGCCTCATACTTAACAGACAGATTGAGAGTGGTATTGATCTTCTCATCTACCTCTTAGAAAGAAAGCCTATAAGCGTATTTCCCCACAATGTTGAATTCCTTTAATTTACCTCAGCTTCTACCACTGGCGGTGGTGCCTTTTCCACCATCTACAGGGAAGAAGAAATTATTTGTTTTCCCATCTATTTAAATGTTGTATAAAATGCAATAAATAATGGGCTGACTCATCTGCCATGATGGAATGTACAACATACAGACATCTGTGATAAGGTGAATTAATTAATCAAAACATGAAAAAACTGTCTCCTTTTTCAAATGCCAAATTTCATGCGTGTTCAGTGAAATGAATAAAAGATAACATTAGGTTTAGCATATTATTTGGTACATCTGTTTCAACATCATGTCAGAGGCGCCTGTAGAGTAAAGAAAATTAAGAATTAATATTCCAGAGCACTTCCTGCTGGTTTACCTGCTCTTTTACAACTGGCTGTGCAACCTCCTCTGCTGTCTCATGAGGTTCAACAATATTTTCTCTCTGAGCAGATGTAAATGAATCAGAACATTGTAAAAACAAAAGAACTGTGAAAAAATAACATGGATATAATCAGAGAATGAGAATATTGTTCCATCCCCTAAAAAGGCAAAACCCCAGAATGGAGAACTCTACTTCCACTAGTGTCTCCTGCAGAGCAAAGCTACTTTTTTATTCTGAAGAGATGCAAACAAAGATGGACATGTGAACATGCTGTAATTTATGTGTATGGCATATCTGTTATGAACATACTGAAAATAATATTTAAAATAAGACCCACTGTGAGAGTTGCTGAAAGAGTACTGAAATCCTACATGCAGATTAAAACTCACATTAGAATACCTTAATACAAGATTCCCTGAATACAACAGAGCTTACTCTCTCATTTACCTGTACTTCTACAACTGGTTGTACCTTTACTTCTAGTGCTGGCTGTGGTGCCTCCTTGATTGTCTGCAGGACAGGTAAAGGAATTCTTTTTGTTAGTTACAGTCAACAAGACAGAAAAATAATGTACTCATGAAGAGAAGAAAAGTTTTAATTGTGAAATGCTTAATATGTTAGCATGGCAATGAACTCTGCCTAATATGAGCTTTTTGAAGGAATAGTTTGACATTTTGGGAGACATTTACCCGCATTCATGTCGAGAGTTAGATAAGAAGATTAATAACACTGTCCTGTCTCTGAGATAAGGATGGAGCCAAAACCAGGAAGCAATGAGCTTAGCTTAGAATAAAGAAGCAGGGGGAATCGGCTAGCTTGGCTCTCCCCAACACACAATACACCCGGCAGTTCCTGTAAAGCTCATTAATTAAATCTCGTTTATTTAATCCGTGCAAACACGTGAGTGTAAAAATGATGTTGTGGTTTTATGAGAAGTTGTGCTATAACTTTCTTGGTGACCAGCTGGGCTGTAGAGGTGCTGGTATTGCAGGCATATTTGTAAATTTTGGACATAGCCAAGCTAGTTGTTTTGCCCTGTTTCCAATCTTTATGCCAAGCTTAGCTAATTGTCTCCTGGCTCTAGCTTCATATTAAACACAAAGACATGAAAGGGGTGTTGATGTTCTCATCTATAGGCCAGTAAGCAAAGACGTTTTTTTTTCCAAAATGTCTATTTTTAAATTAATTACTAATGCAATTACAATGTCGGGCATCATGGAAATATGGACTGTGGTAGAAACAGTGGTGCTAATAACAGTCTTTTTTCCAGGGAAACCTTTTGACCGAAGTCACACTAATATTGCATGTCTAACTGTGGCATCACATTTTTGAAAGAGCACTACAAAAACCTGATTCTCCTGGATGAATGTCAAAACAGGTTTGCTGCAAGTTCCAATTTGAAAACAGCAATTTGTTCAGTTTCTGCCACCTCCAGACAAATCAGCTGTTGTTCAGTTAGTAACAGGATGAGCTATGGTCAGTTTGAGAATATGATAATCTACTGTACCACTGCTGCAGTCTTGGCGGGGGCATTGGCTCCACTTGCTGAAGCACCCTTGCCTTTGGATGCCTTGACGCCTAGCAGTACCTCAAATTCACATACAGTATGTTTCACACTATGTTATAATCTGACACACCGTGGAACATGCACTCCGTAAAAGTCTACATGAATAACCACCGTTTAAAATAATTATCTCATCTTGCAATGCAGTGCAGTTTGCTTTTTATTTACCTTTGGTCGGAAGAATTTGCTCAGAGTATCTTTGGCTGATTTTCCTTTTGAGGACTCGGGTTCCTTTGCAGCAGCTTTTGTCTCTTCTTTTGATATGGGTTTTACAGGTTTGGCTGCAGGTTCTCCTTTGATTTCCATTTTTGGTGGCTCTGGAGGAGGTGGTGGTGGGATAGACATTCCTTTGGGTGCTACAGGGGGCTCAGATACTTGTGCAACCTATTCAAGAGAGAGCGGGTGTTCAAATAATGGTTTGCCATGGAAAATCATAGGAACTTTAACAGCAAATACAAGATACACAATGACAATTTTAAGATAAATGCAAAGCAGCAATCGCTTTATTTTAGTTATGTCCAACATAAATAATAAAATGATTTAATTAGTATGTAAAATGCAACAATGGTAAATAAAGTAGAATTTCTGTAAGTTAATTAAATCCAATTGTGCCCACTAAAAATATCCTTTTTTAAGTGAACTACAAGATATTACACAAATTAAATATGAGCAATGTGCTCACAGTGGTGGTTGCCGCTGGTTGGGTCTCCTTCTGGGACTATTTGGCAACAGAAAAAGGAAGCGGTTAGAGAGATAAAGTTAAACTGAAGCAAACAAATATCTGCAAGAAGCGATCAGGGATATTCTAAATATAAGCTGAAAATGAAATGAAATTTTCCAAATCACTGTCCCAATATTTATTATGTAATAAATATATAATCAGCCCCTAACATTACTGAGTTCACTGATACAGCTTTATGAACCAAAATAAGCATATAATAAAATGGATATGGAAAGAAAATCAATTGATAGAATATCAAAACCCTTCTAAATAAACCCACAGAGGTGCTGTCATGGTCAATTAATTATGTGATGCTTCATGAACATCTTTTCACCTGATCTTTTGTGGCATCAGGAGTGGCTGTTTCCTTTTTGGTTGTTTTAGTGGGAGTCACCTGTGAAACAAGGGAAGGAAAATGGACTGTCTTCAATAACTTCATTCCACACAAAACATTAGAAGAAAAACAAAATACCTGTCCCTCAAATGTTAAATGCACATGCATGATGTTATTTCACATGGCTGGCAATGACGCTGCAGTGTAAAACGTTCAGAATCAGCGTATATAGTTGATGTAGCAGGAACAGTAAAATAATTATTTTGATAAAACAGAAGCCTTTCATGAATGCAGACATAGGCCTTTATGATAAGCTAACTGAGGCCCACTGAGCTTCCTGACAGAGCACATACAGTACATGCGCTGTCATTGTGATAGCCATTGTGCTCCGGAGATGGCGTAGGCCTGCCCTTGCTCTATCTTCACAAATCTCAACTTCCAACTGCACAGGCCTCCCTTGTGAGCTCACACTATGGGTTGAACAATAGGCCACCACATTCCCGCATGTTCAAAGACTTGATTAGCATGGGGCTAGGGCAATGGTAACTCTTTAAAACGGCATGAATCCAAAAGACAGCACGATGAAGAGGATATACAATAGCTTCTTGTTGTAGGTTTTCCATCAGGCACTGTCATCTTGGCAGATTTAGTTATGCATACTGTTACTGCCATAAAACTGCTTTTTCACATATCTCAACATAGAACAAGAGGAATCATGCTCACACCAATCAAATTTAAACATAACATCTTAAATGTTACATTTATTCACTGATCACTGATCTCCACTTTATCAAGCTAGTTACAAAATATCTTAGCTTCAGTGAGGCTTTAAGCAATAATTAGAACTCACAGTAACTACATTTTTGTTGTTTGAGCAGCTGTTTGGAGATAACAAGAGTGGATTTGTTTTTCCACTTTGATTACAGCCATTCTTCAATTTATTTTTCCCAAGCAGTCACATTTTACAAGAGAATCAATTAGAAATATCAAGTATGTATATAAACACAGACTGAATTTCTCAAATTGTGCCACTTACTAGTGTTTTGAAGAAGTTCATAACTAGATTCTTTTCTGGGTTACTGTCCTCTTGGTTTTCCAAAGGTTGGCTGTTTCTCTCGTCAGTTTCAGGAGCTTTTTTTCCCTCTGGACCCGGGTCAATAGTCACACGTTCTGGCTCCCTTAATGGTTCAGGTTCTTGCTCTAGGATAGCTGGCTCCTATACACCGTCACAAAGTATTAGCCTTTGAGAATTATGTTAGAGCAGTGGAGCTGATATGCAAGCAGTGAGTGTCTTAATCGCAGCATTGAGATGGGAGCACAATTCCAGCCATGCCTCTGCCTACTCAGGGCATTGTCAACAATCACCCTTTTATTAATGTGTGTGTCCCACCCCTCACTCATTGATATTCAACAATGTGTAAGAGTTATGCCCTGAGAAATGTCAGGAAACTCAAACCTTACTGTATCCTTATGATGAGTATGTTTAAAATACAGAACTGACCAACCCTGATTTTAATTTTTCAGTTAATCTGTGTAATTTTCCTTCACTGTGACCTGATTAAAATTTCATATTCCCTTTAAAACTCTTTATTTTCTGAAAGCAGAAAGAAGTCAGAAAACACTGACCAAATAAATTATGAGCAAAATCATGAATGAGGTATTTTTAAAGCCCTTAAATGAAGTTTTTTAATTTTTGATTTTATTGGAAAATGTTTCAGTATTGTGTTCATGATATATAAACAGATTTGCATTTAATAAAACAACTCATTTTACAATCCAACAATTACTACCACATGCCACCACATGCCATTGAACAGGTAGACCATTATTTTTCAAAACCTTTTTATGCTGTTCTTCCTTTGCAGCCACATGAATGGTAACAGTAATACCGTCTCCCAGTGAAGACACCTTAAGCTACCAAGCATATACACTGATTGTACAACTGATGCACAAGCTGACTGCAAACTAACAAGTAAACGCTGCCATGTCTGTACTTATGCCACAGGTATCTTCAATCATTTCTGCGCATTGTGAGTCCAGTGTTGAATTTATTGAGTTTACACTTGATTCAGTCTTTGCCTTCCCTTCAGTCTCTCCCTCTGTGATGATCTCTGGGGCTACCTCCGCTGAAGTCACAAGGTTACATTCAGTTGCAATATCTTCCATGATGATTTCTTCTACAATGGTCTCAAGAGCGGCGTCAACACACTCTACCACAGGCTCATCTGAAGTGGCAATTTGAGAATCTCCAGAGATCTCCTCAATGGAAGCTCAAACATCACTAACACCCCTAACCACCTCTTCTGTATCTTCATCTTCAACTGTCTCGATGATTACCGTTAGCATTTCGGTTTTGGTTGTCGCTCAAGAAGACTCACACTATCCTCCAGGGGCGACACAGAAATGACAGGATTTGAATCAGTTTGTTCTTCCACAGCTACTGCAGAGCGAGCACCTGTCACTTTATCAGCATCTTCCAACAGTATATCACCTGGGGTGACGTTCCCATCTACAACTTCCTCCTGGACTGAAACTGAATCTAGTATCTTCTTCAATGTCGCACATGTTGCATCTTCTTCACAAGGGCTTGGATTCTCTTCGACATGTTCCTCTGAAATTACAGGGTTTTGTTTGGGTGCCAAAACATCTTCACATACTTCATTTCTTTCTTCCAAGTTCTTCAAAACTGCCAACCCCTTTGACTTCTCCTCCAGTAGATGATTCTTGGGCAGTGGTTTCTTCCTCAACACCTTCTGTTACTGCTTGCATTTCATTTGAGAAAGCCTCTATAGCTTCTTCATTCATCTTCTCAGCAGTTGTCACAATTGGCTCCTCTGGACCGGTAAGCCTTGCTTCTTGTTCTCCAGAAAGGGGCACAAAAGTTGTTGTAGTGATGACCTCCTCTCCCACAGGGAGGCCTTTATTCACTGCAGGCTCACAAGGAGTGATGGCACAAAGTTCACATTCTAGAGAGAGGGCATCGATTGCTGTTTCTGGTATCTCGTCAGTATCATCTTCGACGATCGGACTTGGTTCTACTTCTTCAATTGGTTCTAGTCCCACATCAGCTTTCACATCTTCACCAACATCAGCGTTCTCATCTGTAGTAATAACTTCAGGAATAGACTCAGGTTTGACTTCATCATCAGGAGAATTTAAAGAATCTTCAAGAGGTTCCTCAATGGCGATAAGCTCATTGGAAGGAGCCTCAGCTGGGATAAATTCTTCACTTATTGCTGGTACATCCTCGACTGAAACCCCTTTTTGCCCAGATTCCACCTTAACTAGAATTTCTGTCACAAGAGGGACAGACAGTTCTTCTACAGGCATGTCTTGGTATGCAGGTGTAGGATTTGGCTCCTCACAAACAACCCCAGAGATTGTTTCCATCACTACAGTCACTGGCGCTTTATCTAGGGAAGGAACGCCATTTGCTTCCCCGGCCTCAGAGGCGACAGCATTATTCTCAGGTTCTGCAGTTTCAATAAGCACTACATCAGCTGACATGTCTCCAGCTCCTTCACCATTGTCTCCAGTAAATACATGGATACTTGGATCTGACTTGTTTACAGCAGCAAATTCAGCAGATTTAGAAACAGCAGCGAAAACCGCCTTAACACAATCAGCTACCACTTTGGAAAGGCTGGAAGAAACCTCCAATGGCACAGTTTCCTCAGTATTATTATCTTCTGCGACTATTACATCTTCTATAATTGATTTGTGTAGGTTGGATTCTGGTTCTGCAGCAATTTCTGTCTTTTTCAGATTTTCAGAGTTGTCTGTAACTTCCGTCATCTCTGCTCTGAACACCATATTCTCATACACATTGTTCTTCACGATGATCACTTCCTCAATAATGATCCCAGCCGTCTCGTTGTCTAAGGGTTTCTCATTTGCAGGTTCTTCAACAACCTCCTCAGAAATGTCGACAGCAGATTCATTCAATGAATCTTCTTCAGTTGCTGCTGTCACCATCACAACCTCTTCCATTGGGCCCTCAGTAATAGCGGTTGTATCATCACCTTTGTCATCATCTTTGTCATCATCGTCATCATCACCAGTTTGCGTTGAAATATGTGCTTCTGTTTTTCTGTCTGTTTGCGTTTCTTTTTCCGCTCTGTCCTTTCGGTGCTCAGCGATGATCATGGCAGTTTTGTCTCCACTTGAACCTGACTCCTTTATTATGAAAATCAACATTCACGTTTAGATAAAAATACAGTTGTTTTTTGTTTCCGGGACACATAGGACAACCATGTGCTTGATCACACTGTGACTGAGTCAACAGAAAACACTCTACAGTGTAATGCCATATAGTACAACAGTCCCACAGAAGTTACTTGGGAAAAACGTTTTAATTGTTGTTGAGGCTGTGTGAACAGTGTGGCTCACTTAATATTTTGAAAAACAATTGAACTCTATTGCAGAGAGGAATAAGCTATATCGGATCAGAACACGTTTTAGTAGGATCAATTCAATGTTGTTTTGCATGGGATTTGTTGAAAAATATAAAATATTACCAGACTTATATTTTAAAAATGAACACGTAAGGTGCACTCACCGGCTGTGGATCAGTGGCAGGAAGACTTACATCTGTTTGATCTTCATTTGAGGTCGTTTTTTCTTGAACACTCTTGACATCAGCTGAACGTTCTGCTTTCTTTTTGAACATCTTGCCAAAAAGATGGACTTTTACTTCTTTACTTTTCATGACCTCTTCCACCACCTCCTGGACGGTGGTTACAGGGATGTCAGAAATGACTGGAGCGTCCGTCGGTTTACAGTCTGATTCAACAATCTCAGAATCAGGCTCAGTCGTTTCTTTGGCAAGGTTTAAGGAGATGGGCCCGCCATTTTGCTTGACTGTGGTCTCACTGTTAACTACAAAATAGAAGAATCAGTTATCAAAATGTAAACAAAGGGGTTGGCCAGTACAACAAATGCACAAACTAACATGAGACAAATGTTTTATTGCTTAAGATGTTTTTCAGTTATTGGTCAATTATATTTGTATTCTTGATATAGTCAAAATGTTCCAAATTGGGACTTCAAATGAGTTCTGATTTTTTTTAATGTGAAGTCCATTCTGCAATAATTAATTTGATCTAATAACTACATATGTGAGACTGCTATACCAAAGAGGTTCACTGTTGTCACAACCATTTGTCACGGCTGTCGCTGTCACCCTTGTGTTTCCCCTTTTGTCTGTCTCACCACTACCAAGTAGGCTGTGTACCTGGGGAATGAAGACCCGCCTACTTCCTGGTTTCTGGGGTGCTGACATCTGTACCGCCCATTGGTTCCCTCTGTTTTCCACTCAACCAATGGCTCATCACCACGTTAATTACCTCCGGCTCATAAGGAGAGTCCACCTGGTATTGACTGCATAGCCTGTCTGTTGTACTTTGTGTTTAGTGGAACTATCCACCTTCCTTGCCTATTAGCTGTACATTGTGTTTAGGTAAACATTTGCATACCTTTGTATGTTAGCTCCACATTTGGGTGCAGTGGAGAAATTCACTTATTGTTCTGTTTACTATTGTGTTAGTTTTCACCAGGTGGAGTGGGTGCTGTGCTCTTTGTGTTCTTTTGTAGTAAGAATCAACCCTGTTTAAAACGATAGGTACAGGCCTCCTTTTGAGGACCTTTTTATTTTAACTTGGTTTGTTATTTTCGCAGCACCCTCGTCCACCCTCCTTTTGTTTTTTTGTTACCTGTCTACATCACTTCTGTTACCAATAAACGTTACCTTGTTAAGATCTACCAGTTGTGCCTATATGTTTATGGCCCCAACACCCCTAGACCAACAGGGGGTCGTAACATATATGGGGGCTCGTCCGGGATCTCCTTCTAGAGGAATCCCAATTGGCATTAATTGGTTCTTGGTAACAGTTGAGTGACTAGCTTGACGGTAACGAGGTACAGCTTGCCTGATTCAGGGAATCATGGCCACTGCACGTTTTGAGATTGAGGTCTTTCTAAAACAGCCCTCAATAGAGAAATTTGATATGTGTCGGAAAGACGAGTTGCTCCAGTTAGCAGCCCACTTTAGCATCTCGGTTCCCAAAACCATTCTTAAAAAGGAGTTGAAGCCTATGCTATGGTTAGCATTAGTTGAGAGGGGGATACTTGTAGTGCCAGAACAGCCCGAGAAAGAACCCATGTTCCCAGTTGCTGGTTCAGCTGCCAAAGGGGAGGTCACGCCTACCCCTGACAATGCCACGGACGTACCGGACTCAGACAAAGTAGGTGAAAGGCCGGCAACGCCGTTCACGCTGCCCAGGTTTGATCCGTCCTCTGCCAGCAGTGCTCGATCGCTAGGAGAAGCGCGGCTCAAGGTACGCCTTGCCCGTCTCCAGTATGAAGCACAGGACAGAGAACGTCAGAGGCAACTCCAACTCGAAGTGAGGAGAATGGAGATTGAAGCTGACCAGGTGGTGAGACTGCGGAAGTTGGAGCTAGAAAGCGCCAACACAGCTATGGCTGGTGGGGCTGCGGGTTCTGGTGGTACGCTTGAGGTTTGGTCGTCGTTGTTGCAGTGTAAGCTACAGGGAAAAGCTCAGGAGGCTATAGCTGCTCTTTCTATAGAGGACAGTGCAGACTATGAAACAGTTAAGTCAGCAATTTTGCAAATTTATGAGTTAGTGCCCGAAGCTTACAGACAAAAGTTTCGGTCACATAAGAAGCTGGCTACGCAAAGTTACACAGAGTTTGCCCGAGAGAAAACAATTCTCTTTGATCGGTGGCTTGCGTCATCTAATGTAGCTGAGTTCAGTTCACTTAGAGAACTTTGTTTAATAGAGGAGCTTAAACGCTGCCTACCCAAACGCACAGTGATGTACTTAAATGAACAAAAGGTGTTAACATTATCTGCTGCGGCTACATTAGCAGATGAGTATATGCTGATTCACAAACCCGCGTTTCCTCAGGATGTAGGCAGTTCCCGTCGTGTAAACCTACCTCGGACTAATCCTCCTAGGAATCCCAGTCCGAAGGAAGAAGAGCGTCAGTGTTATTACTGTCATAAGAGGGGACATGTTATTGCGGATTGTGTGATTTTGAAACGCAAAGACCGGTCGTCGTCGCATGGGTCTCAGCCCAAGGGTGTTGGGTTAATTAACAATCTACCAAGCCCTCAGTTAAACTGTGACAACCAAAGTGAGGTTGACCCCTGTTTTCGTCCATTTGTACTCAAAGCACTGATTTCACTTACAGGATTGCCAGCAGACCAGCAGTCTGTTAAAGTGTTACGGGACACCGCTTGTTCCCAATCGGTTGTGTTAGCTTCCGTGCTACCCTTTTCAGTTGAATCCGCCTGTGGATTTGGGTCCGTCTTAAGGGGCATTGAAATGGGATTTGCGCCTCGCCCTGTGCACCAGACACAACTGGTGCAAAACCTCAGCCTGGAGTGGTAGCTGTAGTTGCGACTGACCCTACGCCTGTACCAGACGTCGACGATTTGCGGCCGCGTTGTCCCGTCTACCCAGGTTCTCGTCTCCCCAATTCAGAGGCAATTGAGGAGTTGCCTACCTGCTTACCACATCTATCCCCTGCTCAAAGGCAGGATGTGATAGGTTTAGTTACTCAGTTTCCGAGTTTGTTCAGTGATGTTCCAGGTAGGACCAAAGTGTTAAAACATGATGTCGAACTTACCAACCCACAACCCATTAAGCAGCACCTGTACCGCGCAAATGTAATGAAGCGTGATGTAATGAAAGGAGAAGTAGAGTACCTCCTTCAGCATGGCCTCGCCAAGCCTAGCTCCAGTCCGTGGAGTTCACCGTGTCTTGTAGAAAGCAAGGCTGATGGTTCACCGAGATTTATCACCGACTTTAGGAAAGTTAATGCGGTCACAGTGCGTGATTCGTATCACTTACCTCGGATGGAGGATTGCATTGATACCCTTGGTACTGCCGTGTTTGTGAGCAAACTAGATCTCTTAAAAGGATACTGGCAGGTCCCTCTTACTGAGCGTGCGTCTGAGGTCGCAGCCTTTGTGACTCCCGATGACTTTTTACAGTACACGGTAATGCCCTTTGGAATGTGTAACGCTCCAGCTACTTTCCAGAGGTTAGTTAACACAGTGTTAGCCGGTGTTAAAAATTGTAATGCTTACCTAGACGATCTCATTGTCTACTCAGATACGTGGGAGAGTCACATGTCCACCCTCTCCGAAGTTTCGCCTTGCTGAAGCCGACCTTAACATAAATCTCGCTAAGTGTGAATTTGGGAAGGCCACTTTGACCTATTTAGGCCGTCAAGTCGGTCAAGGTCAAGTTCGGCCAGTAGAGGCAAAAGTGGAAGCTATTGCCTCGAGTCCAGTTCCAACCACTCGTAAGGCGTTGCGCTCGTTCCTCGGCCTAGCTGGTTACTACCGAGCTTTTTGTAGGAACTTCTCATCCGTGGTCGAACCGTTAACTAGGTTGCTTAGCTCTAAAGTAGACTTTGTGTGGTCCCCAAAATGTCAAGTCGCGTTCGATAGTGCTAAGTCTCTCCTCTGCCACTCTCCCGTCCTGGCTGCCCCCGACTTGTCCAAGCCATTCAAGCTGGAGGTGGATGCCAGTGCTGTGGGAGCTGGTGCCGTGCTTTTGCAGGAAGATGAAGAGGGCATAGACCATCCTGTATGTTACTTCTCAAAGAAGTATAACCGCCATCAGCTTAACTATTCAACCATCGAAAAAGAGACCCTTGCTTTGTTGTTGGCCTTACAGCATTTTGAGGTCTATGTTGGCTCCCTCTCTGCCCGTGGTAGTTTACACAGACCACAACCCACTTGTGTTCTTAGCCCGTATGTACAACCATAACCAGAGGCTCATGAGGTGGGCGTTGATTGCACAAGAATACAATCTGGAAATACGGCACAAGAAAGGTTCAGAGAACATTATTGCAGATGCCTTGTCTAGGCTGCAATCATAATAGAGAAAAGAAAGTAGTTAGACAGTTCTAAACTGGTTAATTCCCAAACTGGGGAGTTTGTGTTTATGGGGGGGGGGAGTGTCACGGCTGTCGCTGTCAACCTTGTGTTTCCCCTTTTGTCTGTCTCACCTCTACCAAGTAGGCTGTGTACCTGGGGAATGAAGACCCGCCTACTTCCTGGTTTTCTGGGGTGCTGACATCTGTACCGCCCATTGGTTCCCTCTGTTTTCCACTCAACCAATGGCTCATCACCACGTTAATTACCTCCGGCTCATAAGGAGAGTCCACCTGTTGCTCCAGGCAGCTTGTCATCGCCTGTTGACTTGTGTGCCGCTGGTATTGACTGCATAGCCTGTCTGTTGTACTTTGTGTTTAGTGGAACTATCCACCTTCCTTGCCTATTAGCTGTACATTGTGTTTAGGTAAACATTTGCATACCTTTGTATGTTAGCTCCACATTTGGGTGCAGTGGAGAAATTCACTTATTGTTCTGTTTACTATTGTGTTAGTTTTCACCAGGTGGAGTGGGTGCTGTGCTCTTTGTGTTCTTTTGTAGTAAGAATCAACCCTGTTTAAAACGATAGGTACAGGCCTCCTTTTGAGGACCTTTTTATTTTAACTTGGTTTGTTATTTTCGCAGCACCCTCGTCCACCCTCCTTTTGTTTTTTTGTTACCTGTCTACATCACTTCTGTTACCAATAAACGTTACCTTGTTAAGATCTACCAGTTGTGCCTATATGTTTATGGCCCCAACACCCCTAGACCAACAGGGGGTCGTAACACATTAGATATCACTGTAAATTTGAATGTTAAATTCCTTGCATGCAACATTAACTCAAGCATGATATCAACTTGTGCAAGCCTCCATGAGGTAAACATGGGCTAGTCAATCAAAAAAGTGACATCGTCTTTATTTCCAGCATCATTATCTTTTTGGCAAACTCCCAGTAGCATTGTTGTTAATGCAGAGACACCGACCACACCACGACAGGTCAAATAGTTGCTCCTTCTCAATGTCTGAGACTACGCCTATAGTTTACATTGGAAGACTCAAGACGCAGTCCAGCTGGGAGTCACTGTTTACAGAGCATTATACAAGCCCAAATGATTGATCCAACATAGGCATGGAAAGATCAGCTGATTTTGTCTGTCAAACTGAACAAACTTCAATAAAAATAAGTCAAAACCTAATCTTCTATCATGCTCAGATTCTCCAATATACACATCACCACTGTTATTTTACATTTAAGTCATTATATAATATATATCTATATGTAGTATTACTTCCCTGCTATTTATCGTAACAAAAATAAATTCAAAAATCTCACCCACCATCAATCTCCAATCCATTTGATGTGATGTTAGCAGAGAGGCCATTCACTGATCCATTTTCATGCTTCTCAGGACTTGTCTCATTCTATAAAAAATAATGAAGAAATACTGGTCTATGTTGGCTCCACAGTTCAAGACATTATCTACAGTGGGTTAAATTTCAACAGAAACACAGGTTTTGACAGTAAATGGACTGCTGAACAATCCAGCATATTATTAAAACTAGACTTTTTGTCATAAAAGCAACTAAAATCTACCTTTAAATGTGCATCTTATCAATGATTGAGAGGCAGCAAAGTTGTAGATACTACTGGTATGAAATTACAGGTTTGTTGTGTAATTTGTAGAATTTCACGTTACCTTGTTCTTGGAATTCTCGTTTCCCATAGTTTTGCCGCATTCAACTGAAAGAAATGAAATAGAAAGAAACCCTGAAATAAAGTTTAGTTATGTTAGTAAATATACACTACAAATAATGACTTAATTAAGTGATTACAAATTGTCAAAACATTATTATCATTCAAGTACCATACCTCGTTATACTTATACAAGTCAAACTAATGATATGCTCCTTATGAGAAATGGATCCACTGCTCCTGACTAACTGTGTACATAGGCTACTGTAAACAGGCTGTTTTATGTGTGTTTTAAAATGGGTGGGGCAGTTAGTGATGGTGCTGTTTAGTAAAGGCACATGATTAGCTCATGGTAATCTCTCTGTGAATACTCTGAAAGTATCCCGACAAGGTTAGACTCTAATCACTCACACAATGACAAGGCAGTGCAGCACACTTTTATTGACAAAAGTGGCTGGGAAGTAGCAGGATGTGTCAGGATATTGACCTGGCACACTTCCACAATTTCAAAACAAAAAATATATGTTTGCACTTATAACCCTGTTGTATTAACCTGTTTAGTTTGATTTTGAAGTTAAAACTTTAACCATGTTATCATTTAGGTCGTTAGCATCATGGATTTTTAAAGATTCAGATTCAGAGTTTTTTGATAATAAGACAATATGCCTTAAAATAGACATGCGCCTTAAAATATCTACTTTATTGCTTTGATATTATTTTTTTGCAGTAGTACCTGCTTTATGATCACAGTAAATCAAGAAATACAAAGAGCTCTGTAATGAAATCATCTGTCTTCAGAGACTTCCACATAGACATGTTTAAATGTCTGTGAGGGCCTGTCAATGCATCAATTAACACATGCCTGTCTGAGAGACAGGGATCAAAGACAAACTGACATTTGTTCCATCCATCCATTTGTCCACCCATTATCTATAACAGCATATCCTTTTCAGGGTCACGTGGGGAGGGGGGGGCTGAAGCTGATCCCAGCTGACACTGGGCGAGAGGCGAAGTACAGACTGGAAAGGTCGCCAGTTTATCACAGGGCTGACTTTAGCTAATTAACCCATTTCTTCCTTCTTCTATTATTATTATCATCTTTACGTTTTGTTTGGTACTTTCGCAGTAAATGTGCTGTACCACCAACACTCAATTTGTTTTATTCCTTATGATTTCTAAGAATTTAAACCTCTTTATGCAAATCAACCAAGCCACAATGTATCAGAATGTGTTTTACTGTTACAATTGCAAAATTAAAATGTGTGTAAAATCTGAAAATGTGTAGTTATTTATTGAATGTATTGTGACATGGCTTGGAATCCATGAACACAATGTCCCAATTGTTGCCTTTAGCCTGCACATTGAGGTGGGAGTTGGATTCCCCTGTTTGCATTGTACACTTCTGACTTCATGCAGGGCCTGCAGCTGAGAGACCTCAAGCGAAGTCTTTATGATGTACCAACGCACACCACTGATTTAAAGACCAGTTAGAAGAAACTGCATATCAATATTCATTCAACCCAGTTCAAAACAATGTGATTCTCATGAGACTGCATAGATGCAAATAGTGTGTAACAACACATCCCTATCTGTGATGTGAAAGGTCTACAGTCCACTAGATTCGTTGACATATTTTGAAGCTAGTCTAAATGGGAATAATATAGTGCCCTAGCTTTGCAGATGTATAAAGTAAATATTTGAACTTGGGTGTAGTACTGTTAGCTTTAGAAATATTTACAGAGCAGAAGTTCCGGTTAATATAAAAACTACTCAGAGATATTGTAAGCAAGTTTGCACATTTCTTGAGATAGATCATTAATGATAAAAATATCAAACCAAGTTGAAATTGATTTTTGTATTAGCTTAGTGAGTGTGTGGCTGTAAGTTAGGTGTTGATGCCACATCACATGATCTTGTATATTTTAAAAAGAGGTGAGCGAGAGGAGGGCAAATAGAATATGCAATTAAATGGACAAAACTTACAAAAGTAAGCATTTTACTGTTTTTATTTGTATTTTTTTAATACCTTCTGTCACGCTGTAGAGTTTCGGTCCCGCTAGATGGCGGTATAGCTGCAGCATCATGTTGAGTCCCACTGTCTTAGTGCAGTCGAGGAAGCCAAGATGGCAGCCACCATGAAGGGAACTGTAGTAAGTTTAAACTGAAAAGAAATTCTATTTTGTTTTCGAGGCACGCTGTTGCTGTTTCATCTGGAGATGCAAATAAAAACAGTAGAGATGTATGAGGGTGGGAGTGGGACAATTACTGGTGCCAGTGATATTTAAAATGTTGGTCACACCCTCGTGTAGCTTATGTCAATTACCGTTGTAGTAGCTAGCTAACGTTACCGTTAAATGTTATCTAAGTTAGATGGATTTATACTATGATTAGGTAACAGGGAGAGTGCACCAGACTAAAATGATGATAATAATTATGACTGCTAGCTAAACGAGGGTTATAATAGTCGACAACGTTGAAGGAGCACCACTCAACCCGCCGTCTGTAGCTTGCTCGCTAATTTGACCATTCATATTAAGCTAAAACTAGTGAACCATCAAGGTTAGCTCTGTTCCGCTCATGATATTTAACCTATTTTCTCTCTTTTGCAGGCGGTTGAAGATGTTAATGTCACTTTTGAAGACCAGCAGAAGATCAATAAATTCGCCAGGAACACGAGTCGGATGACTGAGCTGAAAAATGAAATAGAGGCAAAGAAAGTAAGTCACATCACTGCGGGGACAGACATTTTGAAATATTTTGAACAATCCTGGGGTTTGGAGATCAGTTGTGTTCAGACTTGACTAACACGTCTGAGTTACTGTGACTCTTAACTGACTGACATAAGATAATATACTACACTCAGTTGCACGTTTTATTAAAACAAATGCAGTCCTACTAACTTTCATGAGGATGGAAATGTTCTGTTTTGTATTGGGGCTGTTTTGAAGAGGTGCTGAGTTAACCTTATGAACGTTTTGGAGGATGTAGTTTGTGGTGCGGTTGATTGTTATATGAGTAATATTTAATTACTTAAACCTACCTAGTCTACACCTCTGTACTTTAACATGGCACAATCCATCTGAGCCATAAAGCACAGCATTTGTAAACAGTTAATGATTACACTGGAAGTTTGTTCAGATGAGTCACAGTTACTTGTGGTCTGAAGGGCAGGCAGCTGCTAAATTTCTAAAATTAATTTTGTTGACAGCCCTAATTGTGACTGTAATAGTCTGCTAATGTTTCCTTGCAGAAATTGCTGCAGAATTTACAGGATGCCAGTGATGACTTAATGATGTTAGACGACGACACTCTACTGATCCCTTATCAAATTGGCGATGTCTTTGTCAGTCACTCCCAGGAGGAAACACAAGAGATGCTGGAGGCTGCAAAGGTATATTACCTTTTCATTCACTTCCGAATTGTAATTGTCAATAAAATATCCTCATTAAGCCAAAGTCATCAAGACAAAAGACTGTGGAGGAGAATTTTAATATACAATGACAGATATAGAAGGTACTGGATGAGTGATTAGCCTCTAGAAAAATGGCTTTGTCATTTTTAAAAAAAATCACTTTGAGTTTAATCAGTTCCTCGTATATTTTTCTTATTAAAAGTAAAGAGTAAAACGTTTGTTCTTATTTAAAACAACAAAATGTCTGTTCACAGACTGTAGTCAAACATTTTCTTGATCATGATCATCTTTTATCTAATTTCTTTGACAGCAAATTACATTGTCACCCATTCAAGCAAAAGAGAGTGACACATTGCCTTGTGTCTTTTATTTAAACTAATACATTAATTTAAGTTGTACTGAATAGAAATATCAAGAATGATCTTTTTATAACCTAGTTGAATAGAACAAAGAGCCAGACTACACTCTTTGTATAAAGTTATATTGAGTTTATTTTGCACAAATTCCCATCTCTGTGTAGGATTATAGCAATATAAAGGCAGTAAAAACATTGATATGCTGGAAAACCATTTCTGGCCCTCTTTTATCAGTGAAATTCTCAAAGTTTACTAAGTTTTCTGAGTTTTTAAAACAGGATTTACTAGTGTTTTTGAAAGCCTCTGATTTATTAGACTGTGTTTTAGATCAGTGAGTAGCTGCTGATTAGAAACATAATAAGGTTGAGTTGAGTAAGTATTCATGTAATGTTTCTGCAACAGAATCATTTTTGAAATGACTGAAATTGTCCCGTCATGCTGTTTTATGCTGAAGGACTGGATTCCATTGAAAATCAGTTAGTTCAGACGCGGCTAAGGTCAACGTTTTCACATGCTTCATGTGCCCATTCAAAGACCATATTGAAATAAATTTCTCCTACTTGTGCTTTCATTGAGAGAGCTGTCATAGTGGTCCAAAAGAAATTCTGATGTTGTACTAAGAAATAAAATAGTCAAGGTGCACACAAAACTCAAAACCTATTCAAACTCTTAACTGAGCACATGTTTTGACAAATGTGATTGTAGTGTAGTTGATAATTACTTTCAGTGCCTGGGCAGATACTGTTCACTGCCCATTCATTTAGACTTAACCGCTGAGCTGCTATAAATCACAAACACACAAGCTGGAACAGATTTTGTAGGTGAACAACTTGTTGCCAAAATGAAAACATGATTACATTTTCAGTTCAATCAAATGCATTCATTTCCAAAATATTCACATTTGGAAATTGCTGTTTAGACCAATAAATAGGCCTACATTACAAATCATAAAATGTTTCATTATCATCATTATGGATTGCATTTTTTTAACAAGTTCACTGGTCAGTACACATGCTTGTATGTTACAAGTGCAATTTATTTTAGCAAATTTTCATTGCCATCGGTAAACAATGTTTCTTGACCTGGTGCTCTGTCCAAAAAAATCATTGTAATTTCTGCCTGCCAAGAATGGCCAAGGCAGGTGAACGCTCTCATTTTAATACATTGAAGAAATACAAAGTTTTGAGACCTGTGTCAGATATAGATGCCAAATTTTAAGGGAGTGTTCAACATCTTGGCAAGACTTTAATAGAAAGAAATCACAAGTACAGTGTTAATGTCATATGTGCCCACAAATGTCTTTTAAGAAATAGTTCAACATTTTAGGAAATTCACTTCCTTGCAGAGAGTTAGATGAGAAGATTGATACCACTATCATGTCTGTATGGTAAATATGAAGCCACAGCTGGTTAGCTTAGCATAAAGACTGGGAACAAGGGGTAAAATCAGCTTACCAGCTAATCACTAACCACCTAAGCTCACTAATTAATGTGTTATGTCTCGTTCATTTTATCCATACAAAAAACTGTTAAAATGAGAAAAGTGGTTTTACAGAGGGTTTTGTGCTGGACTATTTTTCTTGGCCAGTCGCAGTGACTTCCTGGAGTCTCCGCTGGTTGCCTGGCAACAAGACTCAAGAAGTGGGAGCGGTATCAATGACATCTAACTATCAGCAAGAAAACAAATTGGCATAATTCACAAAATGTAAAACTTCTCCTTTAAGTACGGTGTAGTGATAGTTGGTCCAGAGCATTAGAACAGTGAGAAACGGTCTAAAGCAGTTCATCAGGACAAGGCAGCGCAACCAACACCACTCCCCCAGGCTGGCTCAGACCTCTGTGTCAGAAGGCATTGTTTAGCCAGATGGCTGTGACAAAGGGGTGCTTTAGACGTTGACCGAGAGGGACTTTAGATTAGAGCCTGTCCTCCCCTTTGTCACTTCCAGGATCTTCCTGTTTGTCCTTGTGTTTGCTTCTTCTTCTGTACTGATTGATGTGGAGCAAGTTGCTACACACACTGAATGACAAACGTGTTGAGAACGGCTCACTTTTCAACTCGTAATATCTGCTGATTATAATTTAGTACACATTTATATACATTGTCATTTAAAGTTTTTTCATTCCTCATCAAATTTTCTCCTTTTAGAATGTGTTTTAAGTGAGTTCAGCTTGGAGTAATATCTTAAAACCGGTTCATGGAAATGTCTTTAGCCCGTTGTTGCTTGCCTCATGTGGGGAAATTGTAGTGGTTGTCATGTAATTGAAGTTTCCATGTTCTGTAATCAGGAAGCACTGGAGCAGGAGGTCACAGGCCTAGAGGAACGAGTGTCAGCAATACAGCAATTGTTGAGTGATCTGAAGGTCCAGCTCTATGCCAAGTTTGGTAACAACATTAACCTGGAGGCAGATGAAAGCTGAGCGGTGAAATGGACATTGACAGCTGCCCCAACGTGGACTTTTTCATGCAGCTCTTGTATCAGATCCACAGTGCATTTGCCAAACAAAGCATCAAATACGACTCGGCATGAACTGCTTAGATTTGTTTTGGCTTTTGTCTACACACATGATATGAGTCTTCGTTTTAGCTTTGGCAAACAGTTTCACAAGGACAACAAAGGTAAAGGTTTGGAGATTAAATAAATGCACATAATGTCTGACGTATTTTAATTGGTCCCTTGTTTAATGCTCATGGGTTTTTTTTATTCTGTTAACTGTCGAACTGAAGTAAAAAATGAGGAACAAAACTCTGTTTGACTAAACTAAAGGTCAGATGAAATTAACAAAATGTCTTTGACACATCAGTGTATTGTGTGGTCTCTGCATGAAGTCTTTTAAAAGTATTGAATCTGCTTGACATTTATTCTGAACTTACCTCATCAAATCAAGTTGATTAAATTAGTACCCTCTGTTGCTGAACTACACATTTAGTGTCTTCCACAAATGGAAAACTGAACTATTTTGAGCTTTCAATCAAAAAAGGAGTGATAAACTGAGCTAACATGCATCCAAAAGACTTGAGGTGCCTCTTCTTGAACTGTGGCCACATTCTTTTAAAAACAAACTCATCTAAGAAGTTGCCTCTTTGCTGGAAATACTAACATCTTAAACATGACGAGGCAACATTTGTAAGCAGTCGCAAGCTTTTCCTTGCCGCTGTCTCATTGTGCTTGCTCAAGGTGGGAATTGCTGGGTCTGTAAATAATATAATAAAGAGTTCGGTCTAGACGTGCACTGTATGAAGAGTGCAATGAGATAACTTCAGTCATGAATTGGCGCTATATAAATAAAATTTTATTGACCAACAATTGCAGGTACTCAAAATATATTTATTATTTAGACATGTACTGTGCAAGAGTTTTAGGCAAGATTGGAAAAAATGCTGTAAAGTAATACTTTGAAAAATAGACTATATTATATTTATCAATTAACAAAAAGTGAATGGAAAAAATCTAAGTCAAATCAATATTTGGTTTGACCACCTTTTGCCTTCAAAACAGCAACAATTTTTCTAGGTACACTTGCACATAGTTTTTGAAGGAACTCGGCTGGAAGGTTAGCCAAAAAATTACTATCCACAGTTCTTCTGTGAATTTAGGCAGCCTCAGTCGCTTCTCTCCCTTCATGTTATCCCAGACAGACTCTGATGTTGAGATCAGGGCTCTGCGGGGGCCATACCATAACTTCTAGGACTCCCAGAGCACTGTTCCTGTGTTTTTGTGCATAAAGTGGCTAAGCCTTGTTTCAGTGTCGGAGGTATGGCCGCAAGTCTTCCATTAAGGCCACTTCCTACGAAACCTTTCCAGACAGTAGATGGGTATACAAGGGTCCTTTTGCGAAGGGAAGTGAGCATGATGTATGTTTTATCTGCTGCAGTAAGTTTCTTTGGCCAATCGCTGCGTCTATTTAATAATGCCCGTTTCTTTGTGCTTCTTCAAAAGAGCTTGGGCTGAACATTTGGAAACTCCTTGAAATGTCTGCCTAGAGACCTTGCTGATTCAGTGTAACTGTCTTGTTTCTATGGTATATGACTTTTGACAGCAAACTGTCTTCTGCAACCTCACCTTGTTTGCTGAGTTTGGCTGTTCCACACCCAGTTGTATTCCTCCTACACAACTGTTTCTGTTTCACTTAATCATTGTGTTATAACCTAAACGTAGAATTGGTGATGAACAGCACCTGTTTGGTATAATTGTTTAATCATACACCTGATGAAATGCCTCCCAAATACCTGACTTTGTGCAAGTGTAATTAGAAGAATTGATAAGGTGGTCACACCAAGTATTCACTCACTTTGCATTTTCTTAATTTAAATATAATCTATTAACATGTCTATTTTTAAAATCATTCTTTACAGCCTTTTTTTCACACCAGCCTAAAACACTTGTGTGAATTACAACTAACAGATATGCAATACAAATGCCAGAAAAGACTAGGAGAGAAGGTAACAATATACATAATTCAGGTAGTTTGGCTCATTAAATAAGCCTTGACGGCACTTATTTCAAAAACAAGATCTGATACAGAAAAGGCAAGAGTGTTCAATTCTTGGAAGATGCAAATGATTTTCACGTCTGGTGTTGTGTGTGGACTAGTGAATGTGTCTAGAAAAATGATCTAGACATGTCTGGTACCAGACAGATAAAAATATATCGTATAATATATATTTTATCAGCATAATTGTTGTTGCATCAATTCAGCAAATCAATCCGTGAATAAAAATAAGTGCCCTTTAAAACATGATTTAAAAGGATCAAATCTAGATTTTGTTTTCAAATGTTGCTTAATTTTTCCAGATAATTTTCTCTATATGCTGGATGGTTGGTGGCTCCCACAAATACAACAATGCACAAACCTCATTAAATTGTGCCCTCAAGTGTGGCCTACATGAGCTAATAAAATATCTGGGAAAAAAAGAAAAGAAATGGAGAGCTTGACGTTACAGCAGACACCACTGGAGGATCAAGATCTCAATTAACAAGTTTCTCCTCCCGGTAGGTTTCCTGCTGAACATTCATAGCTATGATTAAGAGGAACTCCACCCACACAGGCTTGTCTTTATGCACAGCTTGTTAAACCGCGGCTCGGAGGAACACACATGGAAATGACTGGACTTATTTCCCCGTTGGCCTTGTTTATTCTCTGCCCTCTCTTTCTCTTTATCTGTTCATCTCTATCCGTCCTCTCACTCCCCTGCTTCTTCTCTAATGACACAGATGTTGATATTTATCAACTGCGCTGTTGTGGTGAACATTGAGAACAGCAAATAAATTGGAATGATTTCTGCTGAGAGCAGCCAGTGTCACTAAATAGTAAAAATAAGATGGGATGCAGTATGCCAGAATGTTTTCCTTCAATTACAACTGTAGAAATTGTAATACAGTAATTAGGCTCAAATATGACATGATAATTATGTTTAGTAAGATCAGGTAGAGAGGTACTAAACATTTGCACAATCTAAATTTGTGTCAGAAAATAAAGTACGTGTATGTGCTATTCTCTGGTAACAGCACGAACAGGCCAGAGGGTGTCCCTGTCTCCCCAGTAATTTCACAGTGAAATCAAATAGCTTTAACTAGTATCAAGATGAGCTCCTTGAGTTTATTGGATATGGCTACACATGTAAATATTGGGGGAAATACGTCATGTTGTTGTTTTTGTCATGGCTCCTGAAGAAGAGTTATGAATGAAATGAAGAGGAAATAACTGAAATATGCAGAGGAATTAATTGGAGGATGCTTCATAAAGAAAGTTAAGTCATACTTAACTTAGAGCTCATGATTTAGACGTTAGGTTCAAAGTGTGAAATGCCTTGAGCAAATCAAATCCCCCTCTAATTTCTCAATAAAGCACAATCCTGTAGTCCGAGCAGATTATGCTGGTAGCCGGTGTCTTGCTCAAAGACTTTGTGCACACTTCATCATTTTCTGTGCTGGTGCTACAGTGAAAAATTGTGTTTGCTCACTGTCTCTGTATGTTAGCTTAAATGTCAGGAGAGTCAACCCAGACGGTTTGAAAAATCCATAGCAGCTATAGCCATTCTTCATCACTTACAGGGGTTTCGTCTCAGCCAGCTTTTATTCATTACACGTGAGCAATCTCACCACTCTTCAAAAGCACAATGCAACATGCCACCCATCAAACGCCATTCATATTGTGGCCACTAATATTTATATTTGCAAATAAGAATACCTTGCAGACAGCATGTTGTTCATTTGCTGTCACCACAGAGGTCTAGTTTTTTTTCCCACACTTTGGCCTTTTAGTGAATTACTTTTATTTTCTGTCTTCATTGAACAGCTCACAGGACAGGCTGACAGGTAAGATGAGGAAGGAGGGAAAGATCGCACGCAACAAACACTGTCTGGTCAGACTTCAACAATGAATTTTGTGCTATATCTTGGATAGAGCTGAACTTTATCAATTAACTGATTGACAAAAATGAATAAGCCAGTCCCAAATAAGTTTAGGACTGTTAGTCAGACAAGTCAAGACATCTGATGATGTTGCTGTGAAATTTGATGATTTTTCAGTTTTTTTCAGACATTTTAAAGACAAAGCTCTTAGACTACTGGGATGCCAGGATGCCCCTGTCAACTAGCCTTGAAAACCCAACTGAATTTCTGAATGATTGAACAGGATATGAGGGTCCTTACCCTTGACAGCGGTAGTGCAAGACATTATGAGACAATGTCAAGTAAGCTGTATCATGGGGTTAGGAAGAGAAGCCTAAAAAGCACAAAGCAAGATTGAGTGCAGTAAAGAGACCGGGGGCTGTGAGAGGCATCAAATATCGCCGACCATTTAGGAAGCAGCGAAAGGGCACGCAGGTCAAACTGCCTGGTAAGTTTTATTGTGAGATTTTCAATACTAAATTGTTGAGAATGAATTACCATTCCTTCACTTCCTGTGGACAGGGATTTATGTGTGGAGGCTGAGCTCTATGCTGGGATATCTTCTGTCATTCATTTCATTACTGTCTGTCAAGTTGATCAGCCTAGACAATAAAGGCACAATTCCACTGTGGCGGCATATGAATCATCTGAATGATGAAGACACGTCTTTGTGTGGACTGATCCCTCTGTGAGCATCTGTGTGTATATATGTGTGCGTGGCAATCAGGACTTAAAAGTGCTTTGAAAACAAATTGGTGTCCCAGAGCCAACATCCAGTGATTTATTTAAAGATGTGTTTATCTTTCATTTATGAATTGCTGAATTGGAAATTAAAACTTTCACTCATGTATCATCCTGTCTTTCCGTCTAGAATGCCTAAAATATGTGGGAGTCTTAGCTTGTAAGGTTCCATCAGATATCAAATTTAATCGGTGGCCCTTAATATGCAGAGAATATTACTTCAAAAATGCATTTCCATATCCACCATGGAACAATAGAGCAAATAACTTACCATATGAAAGACAGTAGAAAGCCTCCAAATATTTCAATGAATATCATTACCAAAGCCTGAATTTATGTTGGTTACATTGCAAAGACCTTGAAGAAACTGACACATCCAAGCTGTTGGGAGACGTTTGAATTGCTCTTAAGAAGTGATGGACAACTTAAATCTTACCATTAATGATTTTACATGATTCTATATATACATTACATTTAGAACTCTTTAGAGTTTATTTTAACAATATTTACCCATGCTAGTGGCAATTTTCAGATGGCAATGTGAGTCCACCACTTAGGTCCAGACTCAGACTGCAACTATTGAAACTATGAAATTTTACACAGACATGAATGTCTGTGTAAAATTTCATAATTTGACATGATATTTGGTACATTCACATCCTGCTCAGTATAAATGATTACTTTGGTAATGCCATGACTTTTTAT